ACACACACACACACACATACTACTCTTATTTTGGGGACATCAAACAATTTATTAAAATGCTGATTAGTTTTCATCTACTGGCTTTTGAGGAAACAGCAATGAACCCATCTGGCTGAAAACAATATTCATTAAGCAAAACAAAGTTATTTCAGTTGATTTGTCAACAATATGGGGAAAATCCAATTTCCTATTTAGTCTTTATTGAATGAATAGTATTTAATATGAATTCATATTTGATATGAATTTCAAATTATAAGAAGCCAACATGGAGATCCAATAGTGCTCAAATGGAATAAGTAAATCAGTTTCAGAAGCACTTTAACTTCTCTGGCCTCTTTGGCTATTGCTTCTAGGTCTATCAGGATAAGATACTAAACATTACTCCAGAAAACTAAAACAGCTAGCATGCCTCAAATTATTTTGACAATTTCTACAAGAAACAACATACCACTCATTTCAAAAGCCATACATTTAGAATTTTTATCTTTTATTCCTTATGATGAAGATAAAAATTATAAACACAATATTCATGGGTAATGTTGAGTTCATTTAGATTATAATAATGAGACATTAAAACTAGAATAAATTTGATCTTTTAACTAGGAATTATTATCCATTGGAAGAATCTAGCTGAATGTGTATGAACAAATTCACTGAATGAAAATTTTGATAACTGTATGAATAATCTGATTATAATACAAAATAAATTGGTAAATATTTATCGAAAAATACAAAAGGAAATTTTGCAACCAGAAGTAAAATCACATTTTTGTCCAAATACTATTTACATATTTATTGTTTACCTCTATAAGTTTTTGAAAGTTTAGCCTGGGTATATTTTTTATATGTCTTACAACATAAAATAAAGAAGAACAAATCTAATAGCAATAAGATAATTAGAATCAAAGAAATGTAATTCTTGTTAATGTCTTTTCTAAGTCTTTTGCTTTTTGTATGGTCCTATCCCTTATACCTCAAATCCTAGATTTTGTACCTGGAGAAAACTGAATGTGCAGACTTCCTTCGGATAAAACCTAACATATAAGGTGAATCAGAAGAAGATGGGCATGCTAGAACAAAAAAAGAGATATGCCTAAAATCATTCTTGGATATTGGATACTTTTTTTTTTTCTGGCTTAATAGCATTCTATCTAAGACATTGTAGAAACAAGGTCATCTCTGACATACAACATGAATAGAGTATGTTGAAGCAATGTACATCATCTCTGAACATTTATTATTAAAAAATAGTGAGGGTTTAAAACCAAGTTCACACACAAAAACCTTTTTCATACTTTCAAAATGTCAAAAAAATGAATGAGAAATGGAATTAATAATAGGTAATTAGTATAATAATCTCAGATAACCATGAAATTATTGTTTGTCCCTCAAGATTTTCTATATGCTGCCATAAAACTAAGAAGAATTAAATTCATCAGCTTAATGAGATTTAAAAAAAAATTAGAACCTGCTAGCAGGCTATATACTTTATCTCTGAAGAATGGCTTGCTAATTGGTTTGATGTTTTGCTTAAACATTAAGGTGTACGTGACCAAAACATTTGCATAATACTTCATGTAGGTGCTGTCAGTAAAAGCAGCATTTTGCAGCAATGAGATGTTCTGTATTCATAAAATATGTCAACATAATGAAAAAAAAAAGGAAAATTCACAGCAAGTGAATTGTTCAACATAACTCATCCAAATTGTATATAATTATAATACTACAATTGCTCCTTGAGTAAAAGTACAATGTGGCTTTTTAAATTTTTCATACTAGAGTTAATTCAGTGGGGAAAAGAGTATGTGAGCAGATATACTAACAACTGAAATAAGAACATTGGTAATTGTTTGATTACCACTTTAATTAAAAAATAATCAGCAGCTTGTTATTCCCCTGATTTCCTAAACAAAGCCATCTTGTGATTCAGTTGCCTAGACCTTACTTTATTCACATTGAAAACAAAAAGTTATCCAACACGGACAGGAAAAGAATTATGCCTTAGATCAAAAAGTGAATTTTCATTTTCATGTGGTACAACCAGGCAGTTATATTCTGTTAGTTGACAAGTACGATATTACTACCATACTGATGTAATCTCAGTTTAAGTCCAATATTTCATGAATGTTTCTCATTTCTAGCCAAGATTTAGAGATATCAACAGTAAACACATCATGCCTTTATGGAGGTTTTTGTTCCCCTCTGACACACCATTTTAGTGATACATTTTGTTGCTACATTAATAGAATTCTGGAGGTTTATTTATTTATTTATTTATTTTTTTACAAGACTGAAGCAATACCTAGCCATTTTCAGAGAAAAATCATACATTTTGCTACTTATAGAGAATGTGGAGTATTATGCCACAAAATGAAACTACTTTGCTTTTAGTCATAAGCAATATGTTAATGATGTAGCACAGATCTCAGCAAAATAATGTCAAACTAATCTGCAATCTGCCCAGAAAAAATGAAATGTCAGCCAGTTCTACCAAATGGCAAATGGCTTTGCTGTTCAAGTACACAGCTTATAAACCTACTGGTTTAGAGTAAGAAAAAAAAAGAGGAAAGAAAAATCAAAAGCCTTGAAAAAAAAGTCACTATGATGGTGAACTTTTATTCTCTGTCAGAGAAAAATATTAAGATTTTGTTGATGGCATTTTAATTGGTGAGCTGTTTTGTTACGGTTTAGTGCAGTTAGGATGACTGATTTAGTAGCTCTAAGATATGCTACCATTTTTCAGAGTTTGCAGGATAATGTGCTTCAAAGGAATTATACATAAACTATCTTCCTCAAACTTTGTTAAAAATAACCCTTATAGCTAAAAGCTATAAGTGGAATTTTGTACATAAAGTCATCTATCTGTGCCAATGTTCACAAGAGTTTCCACAGATTGCATTAGGGGTGCATTCCACGTAAAAGTAAGACCAGCAAAACAACCAGATTGATTTTACACATGCTTGATATCATTTGGGCTGACTTTGAAACCATTTATCACAGTAATCGGATGTAGACTTAGTATTTTGTGGGTAAGAAAACAAAACAAAGCACAAATTAAAAAGTTATTTCCTTTCTCAGATATCTAAACACCACAAATTGGCTGAAGCTTTTCTGTATTAAAGCATAAAATGAAAACAATGAACACTGCTTTTTAATACCAGTGTCTAGTCAACAATGTCGAACAAATCTCATGTCAGTTATTCATAGTAGGAGACACAGTTGCAAGGATCTGTCTTTCTATTGAAAGTAGACTAAGGCTAGAAATACCACTAAATTGTTTAAGTTATATTTGAAAAAAATAAAACAAAGTATATCACAACTGCTACTTCTGATTAACTTAATCCATAACTTTAATGATTGAGAAAAATGTCTGTATTATCTTGGCCTGCATGAACTGTTTTTCTAAGGATTGCTTCTCAAATATGTGGTTTTCTTTCCCTTAACGTCAATGAGGCATAAAGGTATGAAAGGAAAGAGGGTGTACAATATTCAAAATCAGAAATTCATAAATAGAAAAGGACAAATGCAAAATAAATGCATAAATATTATAAAGCTATATTCAATAAATTCCAGTAACAGCAACAACTGCATAGTCATAGAGAATGTTTTACTCTGAGGGCAGATGTTTAATTTCCTTCATAACTAAAATAAGTGGTTCAATGGCCGTTGCATAGTAAAATCACTGAACTCTTTGTACCTAGGCATTCACATTCAAAACCAGAGCACAATTCATATTGTCTCTACACTGCTCTATCAGCATGACTTGCCTAAAGCATTGCCAGCATGGAAGGTGTGATAGCCTCCCATGAGATCTCAGCTAAGTCAAAAGACCATTTAAAATTTCCAAACAGGCCTGACTTCTCTGAATAGTTTGGTAGACCAAAAATCCTTTCATAGGCTCTATGATACATTATAAAGGGCATCCGAGGGAGGATACAACAAGGTATGAAAGAAATCATTCTCCCAAACTTGACTCATGACTCTTTTCTAGCGCAAAAGGTAACTGATTTTAAATTTCTGCCTATTTTTTCTCTGATGTACTTCACATCAATGCCTTTTTCTTGTCCTCACTGATACATTAATCCCTATATTGTTATTTATGGTTGTATACTTGTGTTATCCCTTCTTAATTGCACTTCTCAGAGACTTTCTCACTTCTTGTAGTCAGGTAAACTTAATCCAACTAAAGCCTCACTTCCTAAAGGCAATTTATTTTAAACAAAATAGGAAGAGCATCTCCTTGCCTAAGAGATCTAAAAGTCAAAGTGTTTATCATGGTATTTAAAAACCTCTATAAACTGGCTTCAAAGTAGTTTCACAATCTGATTGTGGATGGTAAGCGTGCTAAAAGCTAAGGAAGAATAGAAACCTATGTTGAAAATGTCATGGAAAAGTTGAAGATCAGTTGGACCTAATTGTTTATTTTGTTTTAAATATAAATGTCTTCAATTTATTTAACTTTAGCATCCGTTTTCTGTGTCTTTGCCATCGTTTCTTCTTTTCCTCATATTCACCCTTATTCTCCAGCCTTATGTAAATATATTGAATGATTCTATGTGCAAAGTACTAAAGATACAAAAACGTGTAAGACAAAGTTCTTTCTGTTTTCATCTTCATTCTTGGTCGTCTTCTCACTTCTTTAAACTCAGGTCTGCAATTTTGCATTGGTTTCTTTCCAATTTCCATATACTCCTTTAAGTCTTCCAAGGTCTCTTTAGGACTCTGAGATTCTTTTAAGATCCCATTACATATATACATATGTGTGTGTGTGTGTGTGTGTGTGTGTATTCCATCATAATATATATTTTACCACATTTACTAAATATGATTCTTTACTATCTTATTCCTTAAGCTTCTGAAATCTGTTCTATTCCTAGCTCTTTCCTAAAAATGTTATATTAAGGACACAAAAACTTTTTAAACAAAGATGTCTCCTCAGACATCAGAATTCTTTTATGCAGAAGTTGATAAATATTTATTATATGTTTCCTGTCTGCACCTGGTGCAGGACTAAAATAACTAAGACAGTATTCTATTGGAATTTATAGTGTAAATTTCTATTTTATAGCCATGTAAACACAATAATGTATAATGAAAACTACATATGGCAAAAGGTACATAAAAGAAGTGATCAGATCTATTAGGTGAGGTTAGAAAATGCTACTCAGATGAGGGTGTTAATTGAGCTTGTTCTTAAAGGTGAATGGGAATTCTTCAGAATAGAAGGCATTATAGAGAAAGGAATTAAACAGGCTCAAAACAGCATAGTGTTTGAGGAGGTATGATTAGGTCAATATAATTGGAGCAGTAAGTGGAAGAGCATTGAAATTAGAGAGATAGACCAAAACACAAATGGCACCCACCACAGCAAAGAGTATGCTTTGAAAACTGAGAAATTAATAGTCTTTGCAGCATTTTAAAGAGAAAAAATTAAAACAATATTTCGGTTTTATAAAGATAATTTCATTTTCTAACTGGCTTTGGGACATAGGTAAAACTGGAGCCAATAAGACAACCTGATAGGTTATTGTAATGTTCCACGAGCAATTATGAGAACTGGAATCAATAAGTCGCAGTAGGAGATTGTGGGGGCAGAATGAGATATTCATTTGTGAGATGTTCAGGAAGTAAATGTGATAGAAAAAGGATCAAATTTAGGACATGAGGATAGCTCAACATCCAGATTTCTGATAGCCTGGATAGTGGTCCCATTAACCAAGATAGAGCTTAGGGAGGAGAAACAGACTGCAGGTGGAGAGGCAAGACACATTCAATCTTATAATTCTTGATTTTAAGGGAACTATTCATAATGTCACTTAGCTTATCTGCAATACAGAAAAGAGTTGAGATTTAAATATATATTTGGAAGTCCCCAGTAATAGGTTATAAACCCATATACCTATATCCATGTAGGTGGATATCTCAAGGAGGAGAAGGAAGCTCTATTATAATTATATAAAACTATAAGTAACTATATATAATACTGTAAGTAGCTCTATTATAATTACATAATAGAGTCCTCCCTTGATCCCTTGAGGACTTAAACTACCCTATCTTCTATAACAACTTCTAGAAAGACTCTCAAATATATGTTACTTGTCACTTTTTTACTTATTCATCTAAAACAATTTTGAGTGCCTATAGTCACTACCAGCTATATGTACATACCTATATATATATATGTATATATATATACATATATATATATATGACTATGTATATGTATATATGATAAGACCTGGTTCTTTTCTTTTAGAGGAAAACAGTAATAAAAGCAAATAAAGTATAATTTTGTAAATTACATATTAGAAGTATGTATAATTATACGGGACTATGGAGGAGTCATTAATTTTGGCTAAAGGAAAATGTGGGGCTTGACAGAGCTGTTGATCCATATTTCTCATGGGTTTATCAGATATCCTGGGATACTCTATGGTACTTCAAACTGATGTGTCTAAAACTAACTCAAGCTTTAACTGTGTAACTTTTGATAAATCATTTAACCTCAGTTTTATTTGCCTACAATGAAATAAGAGAAATAAAAATGATTACTTTCAGAACTCACATTCTCTGATTCTCTGAATCTTTCTCGCAAATGTGTAGCTCTTTTGAAATTGCTTTATTTAAGCTAATGCTACCAGCATTTGTCAGTGGCTCTTTCCTCCTCTTTGCCTTCCTTATCCTTCCACGGTCTGTAAGTTCTGTTCATCCTCCCTCCAAAAAGCTTTCGGTGTCTCTGCTGCACTTTCATTCCTGTTGTCACTGTCAGATTCCATGTCATGTTTGACTCTGTAGATTATTGCAGCAACCTCTTAAATGTCATCCATAATTCTAGTGTCAGTCACAAAAAATTTCTTCTAAAGGTTGTTTCCAGAAAACCTTCTAAATAAGGGCTTTTCAGTAATCATTACTCACTCAAAAACTGCAACTGCCCCCATCCATACTTGACTTTTTCCTATAAGATAAAGTCAAATTTGTATTCTTCAAGGTTTTCCAGGATCTGCTAACTAGTTTTCCACCTTTATGTCATCCATAATTATCCACCTTATTTTTAAGATCTCATTTCTACTTCCACCAAACTAGATTATTTTCATGAATACATAGCCTATACATAGCTATAATTTCCTTCTAATTGTCATGTCTTTCACTAATTTTTCGGTTAAAATATTGTTCACAAAGATTTTTTGATATGGCTTTTAAAATACTGTGTTTCTTTTATAAAATTGATTCATAGAGACTGTAAATGATTCAAACAGAAAAATATATAGATAAAGCTCATTTGAAGTGTTACAATTCAAACTCAGACAATTCTCTAGATTTCAATATATGCATAAAATTTTATACAAATAGTTCATACTCTATAACTGTTGCTGCTTAACTTGTTCTCTTTTATGCAGCAGTATGTGGCAGCTATCCTTCCATGTTTAAAAAATGTTATTTGAATCATGTTATTTCTCACATATTCCATTGTGTACAGAGTCAATATGTACTCAGTATGTACCAGTAGAGGATACAAGCTGGCATCTGTCCATCCTAAAAAGTCGAACATCTATTCTGAATTGTCAGTGTATGCATTATACCAGCTGTTACATATTTTTTAATGTCACACTAAGTTTGGAAGTGTATAATTCTAATTTTAGAAGCATGTCATTGTTTACCTAGGCAATCTTCTCTTGATAGACAACAAAAGGCAGTATGTTAATCAACTTTTAATAAAAATGAATTGTATTTATGCTTTGATATACTGCTAACACAATTTCTTCTGTTAAACCATTTTCAAAGTCCCCAGCCAGAAATGATCACCATCCTTCTTCCGAATTCCCATAGGACTTTGTCCAGGCCTCTGCATTCATCACTTTTGACCTTGGATTCTAATTATTTCAGTCTTCTTTCCCTAATAGAATATAAGCTCCTTTAGGACAACAACTCTCTTTACAGATTCTGCAGTGGTTGGATCAATGCCTTGCACATTATAAACGTTCAAAACTTGTCTGTAGAATAAATGGTTGAATTAATGAATGTCAAAAAAATAGATGAACAGAGAACACTATATCACAAGGGCAGTTCAGGATTCGGCATGTTGAAATTATTTGTAAATGCTCAAATAAATTATGTAACTTATCCTAAATTATCTAGTAAGTAAATTAGCAGCTGTCAATGATATTAGAAAGAAAAAAAGAGAAAAATCTATCAAATAGCAATTTCTCATAAAGCAATTAGAAAAGCAATTAATGAGTGGTGAGCCTTGGAGAGTATAATGGAATTATTGGGCGAGAATACATTCATTTCTCTAAATGCCAAGCAAAATTCTACAAGGTTCATTCACTGATGATGCTCTGCTGTAAGAAAGCTGAAAAACCAGAGATACATAAATTGAACTGTGTAAACTATATTTTGAGTTTTGCCATGATCAGCAGACCCCAAAATAATTTTGAAATTTGAAGAACTACAAGATAAATGAATAGTGATTCAAGTTCAATTTCTGCAGGGATGAGGCTCCTAGGCACTCCTGCTTCTTCTTAATGGGAAAGAAATCTAGCTTAATACTCCATCTTCAACATCAATCAGAAACAATGAAAGACATAGATTTTGCCCTTAAGAGAAGATACTCGTAGGCTAAGCCATAAGATCACTCAACCTCATGCTTTAGCAAGTTGTCTTTTCTCAGTGCCAGTTGCGTTGTACAGAAAATCCCTTCCTCACCTCATCTTAAATTTCATAACAAAAAGAATGCTAAGAGTTTGTAGTATCATCATGTACTGCATATAGGAATTGGAGGAAAAGGACAAAATAAGTTATGCTTTCTGGACATATCATAATTAGGAAGCAGGTTTGGCATTTTGTTATTTAGAATTTCAAGTCAACCATTTAACTAAATCTTATTGTTTACATAGGCATTACCTCTGCCTTCCAACAGTAATGGCACAGCAACATGGGATCAGAACCTAGGCACTGGGAAATCAGAGCTGAGCCCCTACCTCCTGGCATCAGCCCAGCCCTGAAGCTCTCTGAAAGAAAATGGTATAAGCCAAGGCAAGCTGCCTTTGTTAATATGAGATCCAGATTAATGGACACCCATACATCTTTGATAGAAGAAAATATTTGATATAGTGAAGCAAGGCCAGATTAATAAGAATGTGTTTTCTGAGAATCAAACAAAACAAAGAGGTGTAAGTAAGAAATAGTTTTATTTTATATGTGATCTGTGTTCACTGCTAATTGAACACTAGGACCCTGATATAAGCCAGCTTATCTGGAAGTGAGCCTGAGCCAGTGACACTTTGAAAACTGCAGAGGGTAGGTTTGTTCCCATCCTCATGGATGCTTGTCATTCTATGATAGAGTCAGATTTGGCTAAGGAACAACAGCAAATATAATAGAGGTTCAAATTCCTTAACTGAAATTTCAAAGTCTAAAAAGCCTGAACAACAACAAAAAAAATTGCTGACTCATTTAGTAGCAAAACCTAACCTTAATTGACCTGAGCTACTTATAGTTTTTATTCATCCCACCTAATGTAACTATTTTACAGACTTGGCTGCAGAAATATTAAAGTGTTAGATTAAGAGTTTCTACCCCAAATCCTACAGTGTGTGTTATATAATATAGAGTATAGGAAACTTCTAAAATCTAAAATATTGTTAACTCCAAAACTCATCTGGCCCCACGTTTTATATGAATGACTGTGGACCTGTAATGATAATAGCTAATATTTACTACATGTTATGCTAGCACTAGTCTAAACACTCGGTATTAATTGGCTCGCTTAAGATTTAATTCTTCTTTGCAAGAACTCTATGATTATATACAATTTATAGTTGAAGAAATTGAGTTAGAGTAGGTTCAGCAACTCATACAGCACACTAACTGGTGGAGCTGAGATATGAACCCAGCAGACATAGCCATAGCCCACAGACATAACAAATCCATGCCACCCCTTCATGCTTTGTTGGAACACATTTTGAATTTACCTGTCCTTTGGAAGAATTGACTATTTAAGAATTAACTATTTTCCTTGGTCTATAAG